AGGGGATAAGAGAAAAGTAGAGGCTTTGTTTTGGGATGGGTGTATATATATATATATATATATATATAACCGATGCTGCTTGCGCGGGTGCGTGAACTCGGGGTCCGTGCCTTCATTGCCACAAGCCAAGCTGCAGCGTCCCCGCTGAAGCCACCCAAAATGCCCTGTCACGGGGGGCTACTAGAGACCCCCTCGCTCCCAGGTGGGGAGGAGCAGCCCTTTCCAAACGAGCGAGCGCTCGCAGGCCTTGGAACCCAAGCCATCCCGCAGGGCGATCCAGTTGCGATTGCAGCTCGCATAACGAGGTATTCCGCCATCGGTAATTTCCCACTGTTTGCAGGATGAGTTACCTCAAAAGCTTTATTTAATGCGGGTCGTATCCCTCCCACCCGGCCCCTCCCAAAGCATGGCTTAGCAGGGCTCTGAAGGCAGATGCCCATGTTTCTTTCCTTTGTATTTTGATTTCTCAGCCTCCATGGATCCCGCTGGCAGGCACGCTTCCCCCGCCGCGAGCGGGGTACAAGCCGCTGTCGCAAGAAACCTTGAACTCCGGCAGCGGGTTCTCTCCAGGAGCTGACACAGCAGACAGGGCAGGAGTTTGCGGCTTCGCAAAGAAGGTTTATTTTTAGCGCTTTGCTAGATCAGTTTAAGGGCACCGTAGGAAACGTTTCCTGTCTACGACCATGCAGATAAGGAGGAAAACGCCAGCACCCATGGAGAGCTCCGCAGCGCAGGCACTGCCACGGATACCCACTGGGGACCTGCAGGCTTCCAGGCAGTCCCCGAAGAAGGGTTTATCAGCAGAAGCGCTGGATGTTTGCGCCAGCGTTTACAATAACCTTTTGTCCTAGAGAGTTTGTTAACGGACTTCAAAGAAGTTTATCTTTTAGGATCCCAGAGAGGAAGCAATCTGAAGTCTCGCATATCCCGCTGCAAAGAAGACAAGAGTGTTTTCCGTCTGACGTCTAAGACTGGCCCTGATGTTAAATGTTACCCCCTGAGGGAGCCGGGCCCGCGGGAGATGCCCCGCCAAGGACAAGGACACCCTTGCTCTTGGCTGCTCGGTGAGAGAGCGTCACTGCAGGGCTGGTAGATTTGGGGATGTCCAGGGAGAGGCAGAACAGTTCTCACAGCTCTCCCCGCCACATCCTGCCAAGGATCTTCTGTCCTGATCTCAGGAGGGCACTGAGCTGATGTGAGGAGGAGTAATTACCAAATTAGGAGGAATGGGGTGGAAGGGGAGAGCCAGCAGGACCCAGCGGCCTCTTCCCAGCTGTCGGAGCCCACTTGCCAGGAACAGCTGAGCCAGGGGGGTTGCAACACCTCGACGCAGATGTGTGCCCTCCAGCTCTCGCCGCGGGGAGGGGAAAAGCCAATCACGAGCAAGTTGTGCAACAGCTTTTAAGTTTGCGGAGGTTTGCTTGAGGAGAGCGGCGACGTGCTAGGCTTGCTGGTTGCTCAAACCCCCTCACAAAGCAGGGCCCAGCCCTTGGTGCACACAGGGATGGAAAAGATCTTTGTCAGCCAGGAGGCATCAGCAGCCCCACCACCGTGGCAAACAAGCAGCTTTGTTTTCTCCCAACTCCTCCCCCAGCCGAGGCAGGGACAGGGGCTCTGGTCGGACCAGCTGCAGAGGTTCTGGTCCCGCCGTTTCTGGTTGCTCGCCTTGAGGGATGAGCTCCCGTAGAGCCCTCCGGCACAGACCCTCCCAGCCCTCAGTCGCCTGCAGCTCCCACCGCTTCAGGAACGGCTGGAACCCAAAACTTGTGTGAGGACAAGAGCCCCGACGAAGCTGGCGGTAACAGCCCCAGGTGCTCAGCACCTTGTCTGAGTAGGAGCAGAAAAGGGGTTGACGTTGCTCGCGCCCGCTGCCATGCAGCACCGTCCTCTTTGCAGCGGTGACCACAGTGTGGTGCGTGCTGCCAGTACCCCGGGCACCAGACCAGGAGCTCTGAACTCCAGCACCCCTCCAGCTGTAGGCACATGCAGTGCCCAGATGCCTTTTAGATTTGGCTGCTGTTGCCATCGAGGCAGGGGAACTCAATAAATACCGAACTATACCTGGGAGCTTGGTGAATTTTTTGAGACGCCCCCTGGGAGAACCCAATGTAAGGAATAAGCTTCGTCAGGAAGATGAATTCCTGAGGAGGGGAAGGAAAAGCGATGCAAGGAGGGTCCCTCGCACCACTTTTCTTTTTTCCAAATACTTGCATACGTGATGTTGGGTCTCACCAGGCTTCCCAGCCCCCCTCCTGCCTCCAGCTGATCCGCACAGCCAGACCGAGCAGCTTCCCATGAGGTCATTTTGCCAGGGGCAGGATGGGACGGGGTTTGGAGTGGCTCCTGCCGGCAGGATCGGGCTCTCACCCCCTGGGATCGCACATCCCTGCCTCTTACCCCCTCTGTCTCTCAGGCAGGGCTGTAGGGGACAGGCAGAGAATAAGAGGAACGAGAAAGGCAGCTCCATGTCTCTGAAACAGGGACCCTCTCCCTCATTTTCTGTGCCGGCCGGCAGCACCCCGTGCAGAGCAGAAGGACTTGGTCAGCAGGTCCAGGCGGCAGGGAGGATGCGAAGGTCACGCAGAGCCCTGCGCGCCTTTGGCAGAGGGCTCGGTGTGCCGGGCACGTCTCTTATTTCTGCACAGTCACCTCGGCTTGGCTTCTGGCTGGCAGTGCCAGCAGGGGCGGCTCAGCAGGGCTCTGCCCAGCTGTGGGCAGCAGGCTTGGACATGTCCGAGG